TGCTATGCCATGTACTTAAAAAGTAGATAGCAAAGCTCTGTGGTAATTAAAGTCTTTTTTTTCTCAGCATCACCATGACTTGGGCTTGCACAAAGCAAACATTACTGTCAGTCGGCTGTGACTCTTATGAAGTCTATGCATTGAAGATGGTAGTGAAAGACTGAGGAAAATGCAGTCTTGCATATTAATTTTTCAAGAAACAAAGGGACTGAATCAATTGAGTTCAAAAGTCAAATGAGTTTCTGTAAGCCCTTTTGTGAGAACTTCTGGATAAAATCTGTGTAGCTTCTCCCTTGTACATCACCTCTCCTATCTCTGCTGGTTTGTACCATAGCTATTACTTTTCCTTCACGAATCAAGGTTATTTCTTTAATTCCAGGCAAGACTGGGGAGGCAACAATGTTATTTGATTTTCCAAGGCTGGTCAAGAGATAATGTAGAATTTATTCTTTAAAGGATCAGAGGAAATAACATAAATTAATCTGTCCATTGTCAGATATCCTTGGATAACAATGTCACAGACAAATAAAGCAATAAACATTGCTTCCTTAGGAAAAAAAATCACATTTAAATGCAAAACTTCTCTCTACGTCTTCTACAGATGTACATTTCCCAAATTCCAATCTCCTCCTCACCACTCCATGTTAACCAAGAATAAGACATTCAGAGTTATTTGTATCAACAAGTATATATCTGGTTTTAAAAAAATATTAAATCCCATCTTTGAACATGACATTCAGTTCCTGTGATGAGCTAGTTACTGTTCTAGGAGGGACAAAGATCACGTGGAAGAAAACAAAGTAACTCAAACAGGATGCCTCTGTTCCCCTTTGGCAACTTCTCATGATTCCTCCCCACTCCCTACACAGACTGGGTACAGTCAATAGATAATGCATAACCCCAAACCCACGCGGTTTCTTTTTGCTATCCAGCAGTAGCAGAGGAAAATAATAATGCTGTGTGTTTCTGAAACTGTTTAAGAGGAAGGTTTCTGTGGATGACAGTTTGTTCTTATGGACCTTACACAATACAGATCATCCTGGGAAGTCATTGTTTCAAACCCTACACCCTTGGTCTGACACTATTCCAGGACAAGTAAATTCAGCAGCACTATGCTGGCACTGATTCCACTATCCCATATCTCTGATGTACACGTAATGTACCTGTGCCATTTCTGCTCGGGAGGATGTAATGGGAAAGGTGAAAAGCCCATGTTGTTACCTTTGGCTGGGCAACATGCCCACCTCAGCCTGAGGTGCAGACACGCTGGAGAGATGGCTGGAGAACCGCCTCCTCCCAATGGCACCCATAAGGTATGCTTCCTGTTCACTTACCACACTGGGCATACTCAGGGAGTCATCTGGAAAGAAAGAAAAACACGGGAAAGGAGAGGAAACAACGACCCCAAGCCCCACCTGCATCTTTAAACTTGTCAAGTGAGAGCAGAATGCCAAAGGTGTACCCAGCACTTACTTACCAGGAGCCCAAGCCTGCAAACTGGAATACTTCCATTAGATTTTACAGTCACAGTCCAGATAGACAGATGCATAAACCCTTCGGGATGAGGAACCCAGCACACACGGGGCGGGGATTTGTGTATGCTTTCAGCTTATATGGCTCTCAGGAAAACATATTTGGGGAATGCAGCTTCCACTAGAGATTAATGCCTGTGATTAATAAGTTACTTGTTAATATATAGTGCTTCTGGCATAAAAGCTTTAACTGGACAGTTTGCTGGTGTGAAATAAACTGCTGCTATGACATAGCAAAGCACTGTTACAAAAAAGAAAATGACAGTGAAATGCAAAACTGACACCCTTCAACACCCTTTGGGACATACGTTTTCAAATGACACCAAAAAATCGGATAAATTGGCTCAAATACATCATACTGCAACCCAGTTGTGCAGGCAGGCAGATTGTGATCAGGACTGTTTGAATTTTCAGCACTGTTTCAAACTATATGTAGTACCTGGAAAGAAATGACTCTCTTGTGGGTTTTACCACTATAGCATTTAATTACAAATAAATAAAACACAGGGGAGGTTTGTATAATTTTCTCTTTTCTTTTTGACCTTTTACAACTCTGATGTACTGAGATATTTTATGGCAGCATTAAACCAAGGCAGGACTGAGGCAATAACACCACCGTCAGATAGGAAGATAGCTCTTCTCATTCCTCATGGTGGCTCAGAATTAATCTGAGACTGAAACCAGAGTTTGCCACAGTGAGAGTAAATATCTGAGAAATGTATGAGCAGTACAACTCTGGGTGGATTGGACAATGCTCAGGGATGAACACAGCTAAAGTAAAGTTGGGCCGAGCCCAGAAAGTTCTGGGCTAACTGCTATTTTGAGCCCCCCCATTTTCACTCCATTTGTTGGTGTCTTTGGGAAACAGTCAGCAGTCCTCAAATACAGTTGTGAAGTGCCTGAGTTTCGGGCACTGAGGCAACCAACTGTTGCAGCACGAGAAGCCATTGTCCCTGCTAGAGCAGGGGGAAGCCTAAGCCTGATGACACTGGAGTAGAGTTTTCTACCCTAGCTGTCAGTGATGACACCTCAGAAGCAGAGGGACATCTCAGAAGCAGAGTAGGCAAAATTCCAAGAGTAACATGAAACTCAGCTGAAATGACAAACCAATATTCAGGACATTACAATTAAGTCCCCAAAAGATTTACTATCCCATTCCTTCCAGACTGGTACCAGAAAGCCTGCCAGCTGCCCAAAAGGGAGATGAGCTTTTGTTGTCAGTAGGTTTAAGGCTTCATTTCCTCTTTGTTAATTGTGTGACACAAGCACATAGACATTCCACCCTGCAGGGAGCCACAGCTGGATCCCATGCAGCACAAGAACAATATATTCCTCCATTGGAGCATCTGGACAGAAGTGATGAGCAGGAAGTACTAAGATCCTGCAGGAACAGGATCCTAACTACAAAGCCACAGCCCCTGCCCACTGTCATGATGAATGTCAAAGAGAGGGCTGGTTGCCAAATGCCTTGGCAGCACTGTAAGGATTGCATGTCTGGCCAGGTCTCAGACACTAAAAATCTGCCTGTGCTCTTCCCTTTTCCCTGCCACAGCTCAGGATGCAATGAGGTGGTGTGTTATAACCCAAGCTTTTACACCACGAATGGTGTAGCATCCACATCAGTTTCTTAGCCTTGTGCCCTCTGCTCATGCTGGGACAGGGACAGCTGCCTTCCCCTCCCAGCCAGTCTCTGGGGCACCAAGAAAACCTCTCCAGTGTTTGGGACTTAGCTGGAATCAGAAGCCACATACTTTCTTCGTCCTCCTCATCTGTGCGGCTCAGCGTGTCCTGCGAGGCCTGCTGGGAGGGCTCACTGTCCTGCTCCCAGACCGTGCCGGTGCCGGTGTTGGAGCGGGACATGGTGGCCAGGCTCAGGCGGTACGCCGAGGTGGAGGTGCCCACGGTGCTGACGGATGTCTTCCCTTGGTAAGCTGCGCAGGAAGGGGAAAACCAAACCCAAGTCAGTGATGGCACTGGAAATCAACAACCAGCCAAGCATTCCTATCACACTGGGCACCTCATTCTGCCTGGACTGGTGGGACAAGGGTGGCAGAGGTGATAAAACACACACAGCTGTCCTGGCTCACCTCACCTCTCCAAAATCTGCCTGGTTTTTGCAGCCTTCCCACCATGTTTTCCAGATCAGCTTCAACATTTAGGAACAAGGCTGATTATTGCCAAGGAGAAAAGGCTGAAGCATTTTCTTTTGAACTTGGTTTCCTAAGAACAAGGCACATAAACCCCTGGCCGTGTGTGAGCAGCGCCTGCCATCTCGTGGCTACAGGGGTGGCTGTCACGGGAGAAAAGTGTCTCTCATGCTGGAGAGAAGCTGACCTGCACCTCATAGCTGAGAAAAATCAAAGAGACCAAGAGGAGGAAGGAGGAGGCAGATCCGCTGCTGCCAAGCAGCCAGATGTGTCTGCACGAGCAGTTTTGGCTTTACAGAGGCAGGGAGTGGGCTCGCTGTGCTGGGGTTGGGGCTGGCTACTGGGGAACAGGGCTCACTTGGTGGGAAAATTAGTGCATTTCACAACTAACCTGGACTTCTGTTGGCTGCCCAGGGGCAAGGCTGGGCTGAGCATAGGCTCCAGGGGCAGGCTGTTGGGGTGTGTGTGGATTGCCCCATTGCCCTGCCCTGCCCCACAAGTTAGCGCAGGGCAAGCAGCTGGCCAGACTGGGCTGATTGCCCTGAGCTCTCCCCGCCCTCCTTACCAGACCCACTGTGCACAGCCTCCTTCAGGATCTTCAGCTCATTGTTGAACTCAGCGATGAGGGAGCTCTTGCAGAGCGGGCGCGGGATGAACCGTCTCTCCAGCTGGTCGGAGATGTGCTGTCGAGCAGTCAGCTCCTCGTGATTCTCAGCTGGCTGGGCCAGAAGCTGCAAAGGTGGGACCTGTTAGCATGGCCGGGAAATGGTGCCCAGGGAACTGGGACAAGTCTCCAGACCAGCAGGAGCCTGTAGCCAGCAGACAATCCTCTTTGTAGGCAGGAGGTTCTGACTCCAGCTCTGAGGTTTCCACCTGCCTTTCAGGTTCAACCTTATATTTGACTGAACAGATAATGAAACCTCATTGGCACAGGGTACATGGGAATGAGAGCTTGATAGAATCATAGAACCAGCTGGGTTGGAAAAGACGTTCAAAATCATCAAATCCAACTCTACTGTGGTTAATAGACCATGGCACTAAGTGCCACATCTAGTCTCATCTTAAAAACCTCCAGGTACGGTGTTTTCCTTGTGCCAAACTCTACCCTCAGACATGAGACAGCTCCTTCCTCCATGATGGTTTGGTCTGTCCAAGAGACAAGGTAGGCTAAATAAGGTGGTATCTATGTGCTAGACTACCTGGTAAGCAGGGAAGAGCTGTGATTAACTTAAGCCCTGGTTGCCTCAGCCTAGGAGCTGTCTGTCCATCCACAAAAGTCCTGTCAGAACCTTCACCCAAGAAACGGAAAGTGGAGTGGTCCTTTCTGGCTGTTATCTGTATTGCCCAGCCCTATGTAGAAGAGAGATTTCTAGAAGATTTCTGCCAACCATGCCAACACCCTCCTAGGTTCAGCACATCCGTGCTACTTCCAAGTGCTTTGAGTGTGTTTGTTGTAAAATTAAGTCCACATGCAAACACTCTCAATCCAGCCTATACTACTTTCCCATCCAGAGGAACTAAGACTAGCTGTACTCCATGGATCAGAGCTTCTGTATGACTGGCAAGCTCTTTAGTGTTGGCTAGGAAAAAGCCCTGTGATTTAGTTTCAAAGGATTCTCAGGCCGACTGACTGCTGAAATGCCACTCCCTACATACAGTTCTTCCAGGAGTGCTGTTCCTCTATTCTCAGCTGGGGAATGAGGGATACCTTGCCTTCAGGGAGTGATCTATCAGGAGCCAAAGCAACTGTTACCTTGCACTGGATGAAGGGCCGAAGGAGCACAAAGATAGGGATCCGTGTTCGCACGATAAAGTCGAGGAAATCCCACAGGGCCAGCCCTCCCACCTTCCGCAGTGCCATCTCTTTGACTTGCAGGCTCAGCCAGTACCACTGGCTGTCCAGTTGGCGTTCAAAGCAAACAAGGATCACCTTCAGGGCTACAGGGGAACACACACCAGCAAAGGGCAGTCAGAGATGTTATCAGTGTCCCTCACAAGCACTGGGGGAGGAATGGGGGCACCACAGTGGGTACAAACCTACACAGGCATGCTTGCATGCACATGCACATGCACACCCACACACCTCAGAGTCACAAGTCTCTATTCTATCAGTCTCCAAACATGGCAGGAAAGGAGCAACCAACCTTCTTGTAATAAAGACCTTAGGATCAGGACTGGGAGAAATTTTCCTATATTACACCTAAGTTGCTCTGTATTTTCTTGCTCTAGCTTCCCCTCTCTCTCCCTGCAGAGTTCTTTTGTCTTCCCAGGATTCAGATATTTTGAAAGCAGCTCAGGGGAGCAATACAGCCTTGGCTGATCAGACAGCCTCAAAAATCTTGATCAAGCATATCCACACAAAGAGTTGCCCTGTGAGCACAATAACCTCCAGGTGATTTATGAGGTAATGAAAAGGACCTTTCTAGCAGTGCAGCTGCATGAGTCATGGCCACACTGTAATCTAAAGACAAATATGATCCAGTGAGCCAAGGGCTGTAATTCACAAGAGCACAGCATTATGAAGGGAGATGAGGTTCAAAACAATGCTCTGCATTGAAATGGACAGTGACCAACACTTAGCTCACAGGAGTGATAAGGAACCTCCCCCCTTCCATACTCTCCTGATCTGGAACAAACAGGGAGGCCCAGGGATTGCTGGGGGAAGGCTGACTACATCTTTCTTAATGTGATGGCCAAGGTTGTCAGCCATCACACATCTGCATCGTGATTTGTTGGGGTGAGGGGCTAAATCAGTGGTGAGCCACCAGTTTTTCATCAGTGTTACCCCATTCCTCAGATATGGGTTAGCAGACCTTCATCTAAATGCCCTCACAGAATCAGAACCAGAGAAGCTGTTTGAAGGAGTGAGAGCTTTGAGACAAAACTCTCCCCATGTAGCCCTGACAGCTGCTGCGTCTTCAATTTCATTATTTTTGTTTCCTTTCACCTGTGGGTCATACGTGAGATAACACAGTACTACTTTGCATCATCCTACAGCGACCAGAGAGCATACCAGTCAGTAAGGATCATGTATGCAGGGCCAGCAGACAGACAGACAGCATCACCTTTCACTCTAGCTCAGGGCCAATGAGACTGTGATGTTAGGGGCTGACAGGCAGTCTGACTTGCTTTTTGTGGCTTCACTGCTGTACTCTGGCAGTATAAAAATTAAGCAACTTCTACCTGTGCTGCTCTCCTCCAGCTGCAGTGCAGACACTGCTCGCGTTGCAATATATCCCAGAGATACTCCTGGCTTCATGCTCTGGCCTGGCCCCTTGTTCAGGACAAGTCCTAAAGCAGCTCTAAAGAGGTCAGTCAGCTCCTGCCTGAGATGGTTTTCTTTGGTGCTCTCTACAGTCTTGAGCACTCCACTTTAACTCTTAGTCTTCCCAGTGGTCAGCAGAAGCCATCACTCACCCAGGTAGGCAGCCTGGCTGGTGGACTCTGCGAGCCCTTCCCGCCGCAGGTCCTTCCCTGCATCCCCTGGGGTGGAGCAGTGGGCAGGGGAGCTCTCCAGCATGAAGTTCTTGCTGCGGGAAGTGCTGATGATGCGAGGTGGCAGGAGGATATTGATAACAGTCTGGAGCAGCAGCAGGACCTCAGGCTGCTCCAGCCAGGGGCTGTCTAAGATGCATTGGGAGGGGAAAGAGAGAAAAAGATCAGGCTACATCACATCAGAGACACCTAAAAGATCCAGACCCTGTTCAGTTCCAAAATGAGGTGCATCTCAATTGTCCCCCAAGCCAAAACTCCGTCCCCCACACCTTGTTATGCTGCTTCTCCTCCTGCAAGCAAAGGCAAAATTTGTTTTAGCACCAACACACGGACACAGAGCTACACAGCACAGAGAAATGTCCTGTTCAGTGGTCTCATTTCCTTTTGGCATTCCCCTCTCCCTGACTCTTTGCTTTCATGTAGGGATTTACCAGTGAAGACCCTCTATAGAAGAAAGCAAGGAGGAGGACTTGTGCCAGACAAGTGGCATGGATTGGGCAGACTGTGATCCACAGAGGCACACGATTTCTGTGACCTCTGCTCCCCTCTGTGGCTTGTGCTGCAATGGGTTTGTCTCACCCTGCACTCCAGTTTCAAAAGCAGGAGCACATATGTGTCAGACCTGACTCAAGAACACAGCTGTAACACAGAGAAGAAACAGCAACTTCTCCCAGTGGGGTTCTTTGCAGTCTCAAACCCAAAGGGCAATTAGCTGACACACTGCCAGTGACAGAAAATCAAATTAAAGAAATAAAAATAAAATACAGAGGGCAGGAAAAGTGCAAACATCAGTTGTCAGAAAAGGAGGAGAAAAATTCTTTTTGTTAAATTAGTCAGACCTTTGCTTCCAGATCCTACTGTGAGCACAAATGGAATCAGTAGGTTTAAAAGCATTCCTTCCCTTCTTTCCTGATTGGTGAATGGGGAGACGACATGGCTTAGGGGAAAATCTTCTTTCAAAGCCTGTGCAGTAATAATAAGAAAGGATTAAACGATTTCATCAGCAGATCACGCACACAAGTCACTGCAGGGAATGACGATCCCCCAGGCACCCTGTTTACACAGTACAACACAGCATTGATGACCTGATTGAACGAGAAGCTCTCAGACCACTCAGTCAGGACTGAAAGGAATTCACAGACTAACACAGGGGTCGCCTGCTCTGGTCATAGCTAAGACATCAGAAGCTCAGATTCCTAACTCCCAGATATCATTAACAAAGTCAGATGTATCCCACAGGAGTCAGCTGAGTGCTAGTCCTAAACTCTGCACTTCTGCGAGTGGCATCAGGATCTGACCCAGACAATGGGGAATAAAAAAAGGAGCACAGGAAACTGCACAAATGACATAATGTAAATATCCCACTGTCTGGACATGGAGGCTATTCCCAAATCCATTTATTGTTCTGCCCCATCATCCTCCCTAACAGAAGAATGAACTCCTGAAAAACAAACAAAATAAATATAACCTTCTTGGCACACTGTCAAGCCTAAATTGAAAGGTCTTTCACCTTCTTTAGAGGAGATAATATGAATGACTGTCACTAGAATCTCTGCTTGTTTACAACATCCCAGTTGCTACAGACTTAGCTGTGAAATGCAACTGAACCTTGCAACTCCTCAAGCCTGCAGACCTGGGATGAGAAATTCCAGGAGAAGATGCTTTCTGATGGGGTGTGAAGTACTTCTATTTCATATCCTGCTGGAAGTATTAGGAATTATGGCTACTTATGTGCTTTTCCTGACATGTTTGGCTTTCATTACATTTAAAGCCCATGAATGAGTGAACAGGGAGAAGAGGATAATAACAGTAAAAGCTCCCAATACTTTGAAAAAATTATTAATTTCATATCTGGTTTTAAAAAATAGAGAATATTCCAGAGAAGGTGATGTTGGCCCTGGTTTTTATTAGCTTTTGATTAAAGAACCATTACCTCAGAGCTGGAAGAAATCTGTTCTCTTTCTGTGTCGGTTTGTACCAAAAAGTCCTTTTATGCCTCATGCTCTGAGGAACAGCACTGCTGCTCAGAAATACCTGCTGAAGTATGTGTCAATGCATATTTAAAAATGAAAGTTGGAGCTAGATTAGGAAATTTCTCCCTTCTTTGGTCACCATTCTGACTAATTTCATGCCAGTAGGGAGGAAAAGGGATACAGAGGCAGAAAGACTCTGTAATAGTTACGGTGCTTCTATGAGAAAGGAATAGTGATGAAATTCTCCAAAAAGGCCAGAATGTGGGTTTTTTTTCCCTCTGGACAACAAGGATGCCATTGTGTCAGTAGCTGAAAAGCCAAGTTGCCCTGTTTTTCATGCTGGCACACTGTGTGACCAGCTCAGGTAAGAGCAGAAGAGCACAAACGCCACTCTCCGTTGCACACATGGTCGCATGGGAAGACAGGTAGGGCTGCATGGATATGACCCAAGCCAGGGCTCATCTCCCTGTGGCAGGAGGCTTATGCTAACTCCTTAGGTCCTGCAGAGAATCCTAACCTGCTTGTTAGAGCTTTAAACAGCATCAATCAGCCAAACATCTTGGACTTCAATGGCAGTGTTAAGCTGATGGATGCTTGCTGTGGACTTGGTCCCAACACATGAATTCTGAGCTCAGTTCAAGCCTTCAAAAAGGAGGGGGAGAATTTACATGTTGCTTCTCTTTAATTTTTGGTATATGTTCCACAGTTTTTGCCCAGCTTTTGCAGAAAGAAAACAGAGCACCGATGAGTTGGTGTCTCAACCAGAAGTTCTAACAGGCCTGGCCAGAGGCCAGGGCAGACACACCTGTATCTGCAATGCTACAAGCCGGACAACAGCTGTGCTGAAGGGCAGAGGTGGCGAGAGATAAGGGCTGAGATGAAGAAGGGGTAATCCGTCAGCCACACTGGAGGGTCCTACCACTCCCATCACCTGCAATACAAACAGAGCACATCACCACAACTGGCTTCTTACAGTTTCATCCATGCCATATCCTCCAACATCAGTGAAATGGAGGTGTCTTTCATTGAGCACTGAGCTGGGGTGGATCTAGGAGAACCAGCCCCCTCAGTGGTCCTTGCAGGTGCTGGGGCCAGTGAGGAGAAGGCGTTCTAGCAGGGAAAGGGAGGGGAGAAGAGGGAACCAGCAAGGATGGGAGGAATGCACAGGTAACCTGGTACATTTATAAATGTACCCAGTACCAACCCTGAATGACCAGCACTGGACCGGTGGAACAGCTAGAGTTGGAGGATATGTCATGTAACAACTGTAACAAATAAAGATATGTCATCAAAGTCAAGAGTCTGTATTGAAGCTGGACATCTTTTCCCTTCCCTTGCTGATCTACTTGAAAAATAATGTCCTAAGTCTGACCCAAGCCGGGTTTTGTACAATGTTCAGATTCCCCTCAAACACAGTCTGTTCTCAGGAGCTCTAAGCATGATTCATCTCACCTGACTGACCTCAGATGTCTGAAGCAGAGTCACCTGTATGTGACCTGGTTCTCTGGAACTCCTTGAAATATCAGCACAAGGAAACAGCACTTCTTACTTATTTGTACTGTCTGAGATGTGTCCCTCAGGAGCAATTAAATCACAGGCCTGCATATGCCTGTTTCTCTCCATGACTAGACACATCTAGATGAGAGTAAGAGCGAGGAGCTACCTGGCAGACACCTGAGCTTATGGGAGATGAATGCATGCTCTTTTCCAAATTCAGTCTGGGGGAAAAGGTAGTAACCAGTTTTCTGCCAGAAAACCAAAGGACAATTTAGAAGGAAAAGAGTCAGAGCCCTTTCTTTACACCACTGTGGATTATCATGGAGACATTTCTCTGCCTGATCTCTTTTTGGGCTTCATGATGCAGCTGGTGTACACATGATACAGCATGCAGTCAGGGTGCTCCCACAGCTCACAGTGCACACAGTTCTGACAGCTAAAGGTAAAATACTCTTAGCAGTATGGGTACACCTTTTCCTGGTGGCTCTCCCTGATGTTCCCAGCCAGCTGAATGTAAGCATGATGCCTGCATTTCAGCACTGCGGAGCTTTCTGCTATTTTTATAGCACTGCCTATTTCTTAATGCAAGGCCCCTTGGAGAGCTTGTTGGCATGATTCACTCACTCTGCCATGCTTGCCTGCCAAACTGCAAGTCCATTCCAAACTCATATTTGAGCAAACTGTGTAGCAACCTCCCCAAGGAGCAACTCTAAATAGTCTGAGGGCCCAGATTTGCATGAGCTCCAGGTAGCTACCTCTTCTTGGACAAGGAACTCTTATGGCCTCTGACAGGTTGGAGCTTCCCTGCCCTTGCAGCAATGACTGCTGAATGGACTTGAAGGACAGGAACCTGGCAAAACCTGATACTGCATTTTAGCTGATGATCATTGTTTTTAAAGCCTCTCAGAGCACTGGGGAACCCTGAAAGGTTTTTTTTATAATTGCTAGAAAAAATTACAGCATTTATGTTCTAAGGAGAAAATGTCAGAGAACCCAACAACAATAAAAATGCTAGCATGGGCTTTCCCCGTTTACTTGCATTTTTTGCACATGGAATGAAAGCTTGCATGTTTGCCCACATGGCTGGAGTTGCATTGCTGTTAAACTGGGGCCTTGCCCCTAGTTTGACAGCTGCAGAAACACTGTGGTCTATCCCTGAATGACCAGGCAGACTCTGTATCATGTGTCTGTTGTAACGCACTTAGGAGAATAAACTCTACTAAGAGTGGGATCTGAACATTGTACTGTGTAAACCTGTACTAGATCAAGCCAGGGACATTGCAAACAGTGGAGTCAATCCACCTCGTAAACCCTTCTAACTAGCCAATGCCTGATGGCCTCTGACAGAGCCATCAGGGCCCTTCCCCACTGGGGACGGTAGGTATCCCCAGTGCCACCCTCTCCCCGTCTCTACCAGGTGTGTGCAGTCTCCACCACCCCACTCTCCAACTTGCAGCCCTCAACTCTCAGCTCAGTCTGGCAAAGGTGGATCTTTAAAGTGGTGCGTGGGAAGCAACGGAAATAAATCGCTTGACCGCTGCTCCCGGCCACTGTATCTCCCCATGCACCACTTCAAAAATGAACCTTGCTATCTCTAGTGTCACTTGCGAAGTCCCCTTGTGAGGGGGAAGGGGGGCAGGTAAAATGACAGGAATGGGAATGAACGGTCATCTTCAGTCCAGAGAAGTCGACAGCATGGGGAGGTTTAGCAAAGGTTCACGGGGTTGCCGCTCGGCTACTCACCAGATTGACACAGACATTGATCAGAGACCTAAGGTGAGGCAGGAAGGATATGATAGGCTGCCTCTGAAGTGTCAAACAAACCCCTTCAATCAAACTGCTGGCAGGCTCCCACTCAACCTGGCGCCTGCAATACAACAGTAGGTGCCGTTAGCCGCGGGCTCCTGCCCCCCACCAGATGCCCGCAAACACGGCACCGACACACAGGGACGCCCACAGAGGAAACGTTTCAGACAGCAATGACGTCCAAGATGAGCACAGAGTGCATGACAGAGAGAAGGTTTTACCCACGCAGCTCAGGAAAGCACAGAGCCACAGACCACACTGGGTGTTTGAGAGACAGGGAACGTAGCAGAGGGGTTGGTGTTAGCGACTCAACCGCTCAGAGCAGCAGTGGTGGAGGAGGTGTGTTTCACTCCCTGACACTTCCCTCCGACAGACGACTAATGAAAGGGAGCCCCAGCAGTCTCAGGTGTGCCTGGGTGGTGAAAAAGTCTGCTGTGCCATGCTCCCAACCTAGAGCAAGTCCTCCATCTCTGGTGGCTCGTGGATGTTTTCACTGGCAGGAACAAACCCCATCAGCTGACTGCCCTCTGTAAGCTACTTTGCAGTCTGGTCTGCTCTGCCAGAGTGACTCCCAGACACAGACTGCCCTACATGTAATCTGGCCCAGCAGTACAATCCCTATCTCCCTACCGTGTGCAGGAGGGATTATTCATTGCCTATCAGCACCAAAGTCCTTCAGTCCAGGTTCTTTTCTTCCCTGACACTTTGCTTCTTTCACCAAAACAGCATTTGGGGCTTGTGCCAGATGCTCAATGGAATCTTTCCTAATCATAAGCAGACACAGCATAGGTGACATCAAAGTGGTTCACACCCTTCATCTCAGAGCCTGACTCTTCGGGGTCAGTATAGCTCACGAGCCAATATCAGACTGTGCACCTACTGGGACAGAAGGACAAGGCTGCTATAGCTTCTTAGCTCGAGCCTAGACAATATCCTAGCCAAGCTCCTCAGCTGGCTTCTCAGAGACACATGGAGGGATCAGGTGTTCCTAGGTATTCTTCTGCAGACATATCATCGTTGAGCATCCATTGTAACTAAATCTCCATGACAGTAATTTGTTCTGGTACTTATTTTTGCATATATACTGCTCCCAGCAGACACTGAGTTTGGAGTTGGATGCCCGCAGGAGGCAGAGTGTAAGAGTACTCCAATGGCTCTGGGGTCTGGCACCCAGACCGAGCCCTAAGATCCTGCTTGGCCCCATGATGTTTAAATTGTAGTTGCTGCATTTGGTCCAGTGTCTTTGCTGTCCCTTTGGGTACAGAAGTGCAATTTCAGCCAAGCATAGGTACAGGCACAGACAAAGAGAATATGACGGGAATTTTAATTTATGAACATCCATTCAGCTCACATGAAGAGGTAAGGTCTTCAGGAACAGGAGAAGACCCCTATCTGCCTTTGAGGCAGAAGAAAGTATGAATGAGAAAAGAAAGAATGAGCGAGAAGCAGGAAAGGTATGGCAGAGAATCAAACTGCCAGGAAGGAGAAGCATCAAAATTTCTGCCTCTGAATTCCCTAAAAGGGCAGGAGTTTCTTGAAGCAGGTTGTTTGCCAAAGGAAAGCGATAGATAGTGATTCCAGAAAGAAGAGATCACCTCCCTATTATTTGCTCCATCTTTGCTGGGTATGTGTGATTCCCACTGGGAACTAAAGTTTTGTGTCTGAGTCCTAAATGCTGCTGTTCTCTAACATGATTTGGCTTCTCAGCTGAGACTGTCAACAAAGTCTCAGATTCAAGCAGTTGAGGACATACGCCCATGAGAGTGACTGAGACCAATGACTCTTTTGACTCAGATCACTGGAAATTCACAGGGCTGAGAGATTTTGTACTATCCGGACTGGATTTGTACCACTGCCTCTGAGGTAGGAACGCTCCATATTTGATACTTCTTGAGCTTGCCAAAACCTGTACCATAATGCCACTATGTGAAGCTCCAGGCTTTTGCTAGCCTTTGACTTGAAGAGATTGATGCAGTTCTGTGCCCTTTACTAGGGAACATTCAGAAGCCACTGCATAGCTTCAGACTACTTTTGTCTTTACAGAGAACGTAACAGCATAGCCATACTAGAAACAGTCTTACTACAGTCTAACTTTCCATTAAAAAATAAAATTAATCTCCTCAACTCACAGCTAAAGAGAACAGAGAGATGGTAAAAACCCAAAGACTTATTTTTGGGAAAGAAAAATGAGATTTCTGCAGGTTCTCTCTGTAATTCTTAATAACCACGTGTTTCTTCTCTTGCTACCAGAGACACAACAAAAATGTCCACATAAGCACACACTTACAGAGGTAAAAACACCTGTTAATTTTCTGACATGTTGTATAGGTTCACTGCAACACAACAGCTTTAGTCGGAGGACATACCCACACTTCAAGGCTTGCAACATCAGAAATGGACCCCAGAGGGTTCCCAGTGTACCTGCTCACCTCAAAGTAGGCATCTTGTGAATTTTATTGAACATACGATCCAATCTCTTTAAGATGAGGATAAGGGCAGGTCTCACCGCCTCAGCTGTCCAGTCAGTGATGGGCAGCATCTCCATGATGTAGCGCCGGAGGCCTCGGCTCTCCATCGTCTGCGTGTCGTAAGGTGCTAGTTTCAGCAGGGAATGTGCAATTTCTGCCAATCTAAAACCAGGGTTCATTTAAAGGAAAATCAAATACAACCTGCAGTTCTGCACACATGCCAACGAACTAACAGATGGAGCTTCAGTGACCTAGTCAAAGGAAAATGATGCAAAAGAAGGACATGCTGCAATTTAAACTCTTAGACCCTATAGAACAGTTCTGGTCTGTTAAGACTGTTTTTTTGGAATCACTTTTATGTTTAAGAACACATGAGTAGTCTAAAGATTACTTTTACATTGACATTAAATGCACCAAAGGAACATCAGGAATCATGGATGTGTGTAGCTAAAAACAAAGCACCTGAGCTGTCAGTAAAACTACAACATTGTTAATGCTTGTGAAACACAGACCTGACATCACCTGTTTGTCTGTTAATAAGTGATTTGCTTTGGTTCCGTGCTTGTTTTTCAGCGTCACCACTTAAGAAGTCTCAGTATGCAATTTTCAGGTGTTAAATTTTAAATACAATGTGCTCCCCATTGGCTTACATAGCATGTACTTTGTATGATTACTCCCTGTATCTTTGATTTGTTTCTCCTGACACCTCTGTAGAGTGTGTTCCTGTTACTTCTTTGCCTGCTGCTCCATTGCCTTGCCTTGCCTTGCCTATTCTATCCCACCCTTGGCTTGCCATACCTTCCTCTCCCTTGGCTTGCCTTTCCTACCCCTCCCTATCCTACCCCTCCCTTGCCTCACCTTACCCTAACCTTGCCAGGTTGCCTTTCCAATGGCATTTTCCATACTGACTGTGAAATATTGAGTTAACAGTGTGCCCTTGTGGCTAAGAAGGCCAATGGAATCCTGGGATGCATTAAGAAGCAGGTCGAGGGAAGTGATCCTGCCTCTCTACTCAGCCCTTGTGAGGCCACACCTGGAGTATTGTGTCCAGTTCTGGGCTCCTTGGTATTAGAGGGACATGGAGCTCCTGGAGCAGGCCCAGCAGCCAAGATGATTAAGGGACTGGAGCACCTCACTTATGAGGAAAGGCTGAGGGAGCTGGGTCTGTTCAGTCTTGAGAAGAGATGACTGAGAGGGACCTCATTAATGTATTCAAGTGCCAAGATGGTGGAGCCAAACTCTTCTCAGTGGTGGAAACCAATAAAAAAAAGAGGTACCAACAAAAACTGATGCACAGGAAGTGCCACCCGAATATGAGGAAGAACTTTACTGTGCAGTCCCTGAACAGTGGAACAGATTGCCCAGAGAGGTCGTGGATTCTCCCTCACTGGAGGTGTTCAAGAATTGTCTGGATGCAATCCTGAGTCATGTGCTCTAGGGTAGCCCTGCTGGAGCAGGGAGGTTGGATCAGATGACCCACTGTGGTCCATTCCAACCTAACTGACTCTGTGAAATACCGTGGCAGCATTTAACTTACACTTGTACTTTGACAAAGACCTACTGAAACACTTGTATTTTAGTGGTAAACTAACTCAGAAATAAAGCTGCATCCACTAATAAAAGGGATAGAAACCTGCATACTCCCTGAAATATCTGCAGACTTTGTAGTGGCCTATTACAATACATTCCTATCCGTGTTTTGGGCTTTTTCTGAAATGCTTTTAAGTAATGGAACGTATTTCTATTCTGTTTATGATCTGCCTAGCAATATCAAGGGCAACAAATTCCTCAGGTTAACCAAAAGTGGCATAAAAGTGCTTCTTCATCTAGTGTTTCTTTATTATTCCTGTTTAAAACTCTTTTGTCCTAATATGGAGTAGGTCTTTTCTTAAACGCTGTGGAATTTAAATTATCATATAATTGAGCTTCTTGCTGGCAACACAATGTTCATGGGTCATAATGGTATATGAAAACTTCCTTATGCATTATAAAGTATGAGATCCATTTCATCCAACTTGAGATGTCAAACTCAATTCATCTTCTAGCTCTGTTAATGTGGAAATAAGCAACATGGGAAATTCTTATCTTTCTGAAATACTGGAATAAATAGCTCATTGGATGTGCATCTCCCTTTCCATTGGGTCCAAAAAGATTGTTATGACTTTTGCAGAGAAAATATTTAACTTTCAAATAGCAAAACTTGGGTGAGATAATCCTGTCTGAAGTGACTAGAATATTATCTTGTTTCCTGAAGCCTCTGAAGTGGCACCTGTCAGTCTCCCAAGACCAGGGCTATCACATCACACTCTGATAAATTGCTCTCTATGTAGAACTGAAGTTTTTCCTACAGCAATTAAATCCTGTCAGTCATTTCACTGATACTGATGAATTTATGTAAGAGTCAAGATGAAGTTTGCTTGTCTTTAGGACTAACTATGATTAAACATTTCAGGTTCCAACCCCAACAAAGCATCTATTTCTAGCACTTTCCAGGAAACATAGGGAATCAGAGCACAACTCTATCTGCTGCAAATCAACATCTTAGTTTTATGGCTGTAACCTTTGACCATGAAAGACCTTCTCTCTTGAAAATAATGCAGTATTTGCCAGCTGCTAATGTAAATGAAAAGCTGACAAAAGGATCAGGTCCATTCCCTCTTGTCCCAGTTGTTGGACAAATTTCTCAGTGGTAACTCACACTATTTTGTGTTTACCATGAACAGCAAACTCAGAGAATCAGGTCCAAAGTGCTTAGGAGGCCCTGTCCCCAACCTCTTTTAGGTCAGCACCATCTTAAGCCATTTGCAGTGAGCATCCAACCAGCAAGATGGGCTCAGTGCTGTACATTAATAAAAGTCTTGTGCACCTGTTGTATCACACGCTGACACAATGGTCCTGTAAATGCCTTCTGTACTCTCCTCCCCCATATAGGTACTTATAGAGTGGTTGCTCTGTCTTTCTTGCTTGTTAGCTGCTGATTCTGATGCACAGTGTCACAGGAGAGGATGAAGGTTGTATTCAGCCAGATAGGCAGTTTCCCCACCCCTTGCCCTGCAAATACAGACTTATCTGCTCTGCTCCTCACTGCCACTTAGTCTGATATATAAGATGGGCTTCCATGGAGCTGTTTCAGACAGGGATCTGAATTGAGACCAGAGGAGAGCTTAAGAGACCTTCCTTATACACAAGCAACATCAGCTAAGGAACATCCAAAACAACCTCTACATGGGTCAGATAGCAACATGCAACTACACTACCAAAAAGTGATTCCATCTGCTATTACGAAAACTTAAAAGTCAAAAGAAAGGAATCTCCCCGAAATGAGCAAGTCAAAGCAGAATGCCTGTGGAATACCTCATGTGGGATTTCACATCCAGCAGCTCCAGAGAAGTCACTCGGGGCTCACCAGCCAGATTCTGCAAAATCTTCAGCCTCGGACCACAGTGCTTGTAAAACTCTGTGCAGATATTCAGCAGTGACTCCCGTGGTCTCCTGAACTCCTCTCGGGCAATTCGTTCATCCAGCTCCTCTCGGGGAAGGCCCTGTCCTTCCTCCAGTAAGTGAAGGTTCTCCCTGGAGGATATAAAATGACACAAAGTAGGAAGTGTTACATGCAGTGGATCAGCAGGGACAGATGATAACAACCTCTCCATCCTGTTTTTGGAGCAGATGCTTTCCACTGCAATTGAAAACAAAGATAGCAATTAGCAATAAAAAAAAAAAGGGAAATTATAATTTGAAAAGTCTTGCTAAAAATCTAAGTGATTTCTGTATGAACTATCCTTTGCTACCCTCCTCTAAGAAAGTTTTCCCATCACAGCAACAGAGGGTACAAACAGTGCATCACATGTCAGTGGAAACAGGGAGAAGGTTTTACTGTACCTGATAAAGTGTAGTTTGGCTCCCTGTTCAGGGTACCTGGGAAAACAGAACAGTGAGGCTATAAACAGCAGCTTAGTAGTTCCTACACTGTGTCTTTCTGAAAGAAAGTTTCACTGTGCTAGGTTTACTCGCCATGGGCAGGATAATATCTCCTGTCACTGGAACAATGGCTACACAGTTGTGGACCACATTGAATATCTTTACCTCCCAGATGGCACCAAAAAACATACTGCTACAGTTATTAACCTTGTTAAGAAAGGAAAAATTCAGGCTTAAAACCCATAACCCTCTTTCAAGCAGTTTCTCTGATTTTCACCCCGGTGCTCAGTCTGTTCCACAAAGCCAGAGCTCACCAAGCAGAAAAAAATACCTCAGTGTGTTTTTTTGGTTTATTGTCATTTTCTTTTGCTGCTTCTTGTTGAGAAAGCATTAATGAACCCTGCACTACTTGGCTAACGTGTCCATGGCTGGAACAGTGATCATTCTACCATCACGAGACTCCTGCTGTTGCTAGCAGATGTCTGTTGCAATGATAATACAACACAAGAAACAATGTCAGGAAACCTGGAGCAGTGCAAAAATATTTGGATCAGAGACTGAACATTTGATAATTAGAAAGATCTGGAAATATAAATCAAGATGCCTGAGTCACACAGCATTGGGAATCTCTGCATTGCCTGTCAGCAGATACACATTAACTGCTGTCCAAAATCAGCAGACAGATGATAAAGCACTACTTTCCATTACACCTTATTTTCCTTAGACTGGACAATCTTGCAATGGAAGCAAATGGCATATAGCCACTTCAGAGCTGAGCTGAAGGAGTTTATCTTCTTCTCAGATCAGGGATGGAAAGTCAAAGCTGTATTTCATCCATGCCTGGAATGGCTTTAAAGAATAACAGACTGGTTCCAGGAGTTACCAACCAAGATGTGTGCACTACACATCCATAAACTGATGCAACAGTCCTTGGATGATCCATGAAGAGAGTGATTTCTATCTCCCTTGAATAAAAAAAAATTAAAATTAAAAAAAATCTGGGAAATAATTTGGAAAGCTCTGGAAGAACATCTACCCTGGCTATTGTGAGGCAAGAATTCCCTTCCAGGTCAGCACAAACATTCAGATTTCAAGCACAGTAAGGCATAGGCTGGTCAGGAGAAGGCAGGACTGCCTAGAAAAGTAATCAGCACTGCAAAGAAAAGCCTTCATAATCCCAAATACTTGCGGGTGAATTTTGAAACAAGATTTCCTAAGCCCTTGTTTGTCCAGAGGCCTTGTCTAATTTGCAGCAGCCTAATTGGAACAGCCACTATGACCAAGGAGCAGTATTACAGTTTGCTGGTGCCATCTCATTCCTTATTTACTTCTTCCATGTGAAGGCTCTTTTGTGGTTTGGTTGGTTTTTTTAAGGACAAAAATATTCCCATTCTTCCGTTTCCCTCAAGTTCTGTCACACCCTCCTTTACTATCTGTAACTGTAAAAAAACTCAGACTAATGTGGAGGTAGAGATCATAGAAAGAGACCATAGGAAACGTGAAAGGAAATGAGAAAGAGAACTAAAGATAACTAGAAGAGGTACCAGTCTCTGTGAGTCTTAAATGACATGCAGTTTGTGCTTGTGCTGCTGTTCAGCCTCTCGGAACAAGACCCCAAGGATCTGACCCTTCTGCTCTCCAAGTGTGCTCTGCCCAGTGATCACATTGACAGTGGACTCAGGAGGGAGCAAATCAGAGCACTGAGGGACATAGTTGCTTTGGCAGGATACTTCTAGAGTGTGGAAAGGAAAACAAATAACAAGTGATTTAAGATAGGTGTCCTCCATTTTGATATCCTGGTCTTCCATGTAGACACATGGTTTTAAACTAGAAATTCTAGTCTTGGGTATTTTGGCTGTCATCAGAAATGCAGTCCTGGGCTACGTGCTCTTTTTATGTGACTGTTTTCTCTCACATTACCTACAGCACTTCCTCAGCTGTCTGAGGCCATGCACTCTGAGCAATGAGATGTTCAGAAAAATGAGAAAGAAAGAAAGAGAGATAGAAAAGCCCAGTGACTTACCTGGTGTTCACACCTGCTGACATGGTATGGTTTGCTGTTGTGGTCCCTTTATGGCCTTGATCACATCTGCTCATCTGTGGGGCTGTCATAGGCCTGCCAAAAAGAAAGTGAATAGCACACTACAGACTAAATCTAACAAGCACACTGAAATTCTGCTTGTGATCTGGTGAAGTCTGACACTAAGTTTACCACGTCTAAAACTCAACCATTATTGAAGCTGAGCTGCATGTCATGACCTCCTGTGCGTTCCCTCTCCCTGCACAGATACCTCAGACCTTTGAACCATGTAGGTTACCTGGTGAGAACTTCTACACTGTACAGGAGGGCCTGCAAAGAGGTGGCAAGGGCACTCATAGAAGCAATCTCCTCACGAGCTGCTGTCCCAGTCTCCACTTGAGAGGTTTGTCGCTTCAGTTTCTGCAAGTAGCAAGGAACCAGCGCTTCCAAGACCATCAGCATCTGGAGGCTGGAAAAATAACAATGTTTGGTCTGTTTTATTTTGTCAGTCCTGAAACTCACATAGGTAGAGGCTGATGTTTCTCTCTCACTAGGCTTGTGATTTCATTGCTGCTCACTAGGAGTCCTGGGCCAAAGAAACTATTAGATTAGGAACTTCAAGGGAGAAAACTAGTTGATACATGAAACAAGAATAATAATAAAACCAACCTGATCTTTCAGGTATCTTCCATATACGTCATCTATCTGGAAACAATCATTTTCCCTTACAAAGACTCTTTTATTCTCTGATTCCCTCTTGCAAACTAACCTTTGTACTTAAGCAAGTTCATCTCCCCTCTCTCTGTATCTTCCTGTTCTTTCCAGCTGTCTGTTTCTCCCCCTTCCAGTTCCCTCTCCATTGCTTCTCTGTTGACAGAAACCTGCAGGAAATGGTGTGATCCCCACTTGGAAATAATGCTGACATGTTGCTGCTCCAGCTGCCATCCAGCTTAGCGCTGGCAGAGTTTGGAGGTGGTGCCCTAGGAAGGGTATCAAGAAGGGGAACAGGCAGAGGCTTGGCCTCACAGAGAAGCCCCATGCTTGGAATGAGTTTCTGTATCTTCTGACTCCAAATGGAGCCAGACTTGCTTTTGCATACCATACGCAGCTTTTATGCCTTTTCTGAGTCTGCACAAACTAAGACAACAGATCAGCACCTTCTGAATGATTCAGGAGCATAGGCCACCACTGTCACACACAGCTTGATGGCTTCACTGATGGAAAAGGTCAAGTCTTCATTCCCATAGCAGAAATCTGGGGGAGTAAAGCAACATGAGAAGACATATGAATATGAAAGGTGCTAGCACACTCTAACTGCTTCTCATGTTAACAATGCCTAATAGACTCTGGGGTTCTGATAAGAATCTGCCTATATAAAGGAAACGTGCTGCACTTCCACTTGCACCCTGCTGTCCAAGAACTGAGCAGGTGAGAAACAGCTCTCAGTAGATCACTCATGCCTGAGCAGAAGGCCTACAGCTGCACTGGAGTCCTGTTTCAAACACCACCCATCACAAGCAAAGTCTTAAGCTCATACGTGACTAGGACACATGTCAAATTAATGACAATTTTATTCTTCCTCTGCTTTTGTTAGATGTTCCCACCACACAAAAAATATGTTGATATACCACTGATGGCAAAAGATAGTTTTACTTCTCAAAATTCAAATGCCTTCCATACTGGTAGCCACAGGGATGCCAGAACAAGAGTGAGTCTATTTTGCTGGTGATTTCAGAAAAAGTTTTCAAAAGCATTTAAGTCCCCTAACACAAATATCACTTTGCAGGTAATTAGTTCCAGGCACAAAGAAACTGAAGTATCCAAAGAATAATATTTGTAATACAACCACAGTCCTGTTTTCAGAAGTCACTTTGGTATGCGGGAGCCCAAGTCAAACTTCAGATCCCAAAGCATGTAAGTCACTTTGATCAATGGAACTTGGAAGTCAGATATTTTAGATAATTCTGATCTTCATATGGAAGACACCAGATACTCAACATGGTCATCTACAGTCTCATCAACACATACTAGAGAATTTTCAGACATGTCTTTGAATAGCTTTCCACAGAAAACCCCAAGATTTTATATAAATATTGGCTACAATCCACAAAGAGGAAGAACTATCTCCTGGTTTTGTACCATCTTATGACTTGTAATATAATTGTGCAGCATCATAAAATCCCAGCATATCACCAAGCTTTAAGGCTAGACAGGCTCCACAGTGCATCAAGATGAGTGTTACTTAGAGGAAGTGCAAATTTGGAAAATAAGTTGAAAAACCTTATAAAAATGAGCAAGAAGTACTTCCCTCCAAAGCACAAAGCAGCCAAATTCTTAAATGCTGCATTGCATGGATAACGATCCAGAGTCACAGTGTCCTGGATACATCATACAGCCATATATATTCTGCTTTGTGATAAATCAACAACTCCCCAGGAGCTCAGCACTGCTGAATATCTGAATGACATTCGTCAACATCATCTACTAGTCATAGTCTGCCCACAGGAGAGGATGCTTTTGTTTGCTGCCCACATGGAGCAGAGGAGAGGATGACACTGATCTTGTCAGCATGATACAGTTTATTAAGCATCTTTATTCTTCACCCACACATAATAAAATTCAAAATGCCAGGGGCTAGGCTAAGACTAGCAGGCTTAATGCAGAAAAAGTAGCTTTGGAATAAAATAAATTAATAATTCCTCTCCTGCAGAAAATACCAAAAGGATGATCGTGATAAAGCCAACCGTAAAAGCCTCATGAGGCAGAAAAACCAGATATGACTGTATTCTGGTAGAAGAGAAGGACCTCGAAGAAATCATGCTGCATCAAATCTATGCTGAATCAATAAACATCCACCAGAACTACTGAAGAATGGTTGCTTTGCTGTTACCTAATGATTTGAGAGGCTTCTCGGCTTTCACCAGCTCTAAGATGTCCAAAATGTCTGGAGTATCTCCCTCCAAGGACTGCAGCAGGTCAAACAGGCACTGAGCTGACACTCCCTTGCTGGTTCCGTTGTTTGCAGCATCCTGTTCCAACAACAGACATTCATGGCTGATTTTCTGAGGGCTTGTGTGCATCCCAGAAATCTTTATCTGGAGGTGTGGGCAACCTCTGTTTTTGACAAAGGGCCCACATGGAGTTCAACAGCTTATTGCTCTCAAACAACAAGCCTTGTCTGACACTACTGGGGGGAGCATGACCTGAAAATGGCACACAGGTCTTTGCTGCCCTGTGAAGGACAAAGGTACATGTGCATACACTGTCTGTGCAGTTAGGTTTGGCAGCCTCATTTCAAATTAAGGTTGCATTAACTTGCTTTAACTCGCTAAAATGTTAAAAAGTAATTAATGAATATTTCCAAACATGGCTAATACAGTCTTACAGTTCACATATACTTAAACTTGGCATTAAACTATTAGTTCCTGTAGCTGGATTTTAAGAACAGATTTGTGTTTAAAGAGTTAGAAATCATAAATGTCCTTTTATGGCATATTTATACACAAATTTAAAGTGAGACCACATTTACTAGCCTAGATACCAGCACCCCATTACCTCAGGACCCTGCTCCATCAGCCAACACACAGAAGTGTGCAGAAATAAGCTCAAGACCTGGTTCTGTGCAGCCCTGAGTGCAGGAAGCACTTGTTCAGCAAGAACTGTGCTGCTACTCCAGCTGCTTTCCCTCTGTGACCTCTGACAGGGGGTGGCTGCATACACAGGCTTCCCCACCCCGAGACTGGGGAATGACTCTTACAGGGAACTCCAGGAGTGGAGCCACACTGGCAAACAGCTGCAGAATAAAGGGCTTGCGGTGCAGAACGTAGAACTGGCGGCACGCAAACTCAATTGCTTGGCGCAGCTGTGGGTTGCTTTCGTAGTCGGAGTATACCTGAGGCAAAGAGAAAGGACATGGAGACACTGCTCCAGTGAAAGAGCTCTTCATCTCCTGAGCCCAGCCTGAACCAACTACAACCTTGTGCTTCCTGATGTGTTTGCCTAACACGAGTTTAAAGACAGAGGCTGGACCATCCACCCTGGCACTGCCTTTCTGGAACAACCTATCCTTAGAAAAAAGCTTTGCTTTTCATGCATGAACCTTCTTTGTCACACCTTTAGTCCATTATTTTTTTGCCTTATGTAGCAGAGATAGATTCCTTCCCTCTCCTTCCTAGAAGCACTCTACTTGTTAGGAGGCAGTTAGTGCTTTCTTCCTCAATCTTCATAAGTTTTAGTTAATTAGATTTTCCAGTCCTTTCTCACATGACTTGTTTTCTAGATGAATATCCCTGTCCCAGCCTGCAGTCTCTTGCATGAACTGATGCTTTCTGTGCAGTGCCCACAGCTGGATAGAGCCAGTACTTCCAGTCAGGAGTGCTGCTGATTGGAGCAGCAGAATTATTCCATGTTTCTTTCACAAGACACAAAGCTGTGTAGTCACCCCAGAGTGGCATTTGAGATACATTTCTCTTTCACCCTTCAGCAGAAGGACACTGTTGATTCATGTTTAGTTTCAGATCTGTAACAACTCCAACAGTGTCCCACAGAGGTGCCACTGAATCAGCTACTTTCTCTTCCATATTTGTGTGGCTGATGATTCATAAGTGAGGTCTAACCGGACCAACATGATCTGGTTGTTTTATTTCCTTTCTTCAGACTGCACCTCCAGTTTGTCGTTATAATTTGAACTCTTAGCCTGTCTTCTAACACACTGACAGTGTGTTTTAAGATATTTTAAGGGGTTTAGAGTGGCATTTCCTTCAGGGATGGACATTGAACCATGCAGCCAATATGTTACCAAAGACGTGGAATTCATTTCTTAGTTATGCAAATAGTATAAGTTGCTAGGAACAACTTCTCTGTGCTTCCTTCTCCTGTCCATTTCAATCACCTGTCTGTACCTCTCTACTAGTACATGTCTTGTTTGGTGTGGGGGGAGGCCAGATTTGTTGTCAACTGGTAATGCTGAGATTTTATGGTAGTACAAAATTCACATTATAGCCCAGAGTTCCTGAAGGTTTGTAAAAAACTATTGGAGTGTGAGACCTCTGCAAAGATGTATTCACTTCTCAATAGCCTGGTAGGCTGAGGAGATTTAGCATGGCTTTAACACAAACAGAACCTTCTATCTAGTGTGGTTGTGAGGACAGTTAATCTCCGTGGCCGGTTATACCAACAATATCTCATTTACTTGAGAAAAGGGAAACAATTATCTGTGTATGCATTTTACCAAGGAAAGTGGAAAAACCTGCATCAAAAAGAGCCCTGTGGGGCTATGTGCATGAATGCATCAGGAGCTGAGCTCTTAACTGGTTGGTTCAATTAATGGCTGGTTCAAGCCCAGAATTAATAGAAGAACTGACCAACAACAAACCAGCTGATCTTGGGTGCCTGGAAAAGAGAAGTAGATGTCTGCAAAAACAAACAAGCCCAGCAACACCTGGATTTACTTTTGAAATTGCTTTTTTATCGCCCAAGAGTGGTCTTTAATTGATTCAGCAGTGTACAATAATGGGGGGCAGAGGATAGGAAAGGATTACAAGTTAATTCCTCTCAGCATGAAGTGAAACTGAAGGGAGAGTCCTTCACAGGGCTGAATGGTTACTGCTAAGTATTTCAAATTATGTTACTAAGCTATTTTATTTCAAAATGTCTTGTTTCTAATGAATAATCCCATGCACTCCTGACCTGGATCCAATTCATACTCCTCTAATTATATAAGGCATGATATTACATTTTCCAGCTACAAAAGAGTTTGTTTAGATAGCTAAAGTCATCCCTGGTCCCAGTCACTGAGCTCTGTTAATGGTGTTAAAATGAACATATATAGGGATGTTTCTTTTACAGAAATGATATTTTTTTCTGTATCTGTATTATAATGCTAAATATTTAGATACTGTCTTTGAGCCCTATAGAAATAATCCTTCCTGTCTGTAAAACAGCTATGTTTTTAAATTTTACTTTCAGTAGCTGTTTTTTCTCAAAAGTCAACAGAAAAAGAGGCCTACTCGTATGCCTCAGAGAGAAGAGAAACTCCACCTCTAACACTTCCAGTGTTTGTCATCACTCACAGGAAAAGATGATATGAAGTTTTTCATAATAATTTAGAGTTATTTTCATAATTAAAAAGGAATAGAATTTTGTTTCCATCAGCAAGTAGCAAACCTAGATATTTCAACTGGTCTCCAAATTTCACCCATCCCTGGAGGAAAAAGAACTGAAGGAGATCCAAGGTCCAAAAAGTCGTCCAGAAATTTCACATTTCTGTGTGGCACTACAGAGTGAGGGAGATAGACATTCATTTATTTAATACAAAGAAGAAAAGAAACTATAGCTGTTTACTCAAGAAGAAAAGGAATGCTGATTTGGGCCATCCCACCCTGATCTGTTACCTTCTTGGGGCCCCCAAAAATCTCTGCTCACACCAGGACTCAGCAGATTGAGGTTTCCCTGTTCAGTGCATTCCCTTGTATCACTCCTGGGAATGGCTCACCTGCAGCATGCTGGGCAGCACCCACTGGTACCCACTGAGGGAGAAGAGGTGGTTAAAGTGCACAGCTGTGTTGATGACTGTGGCAGCATACTGCCTCAGCAAGGCACTGTCCTCAGGGTGCAGGATCAGGGCACCGTTGAAGACGTTCAGGAACAGCATGATCTCATCCCCCCAGGGGAACTCGCTGGGCATGCCGAGGAACATCTCCTCCAGCAGCTTAATCCACAAGCTTTTCTGAAGAGTGTCCAGGCCAAAGAGCTCTTTCCCAGCTGTGAAGAAGAGGCAAAACCAATCAACTCTGTCCACTACAGCCAGTCTCACCACACTCCCAGAGGACAAAGGCCTCTCCAAAGAACCATCCCACAACATCCTTCTGCCTTTTAAAAATTATTTCACCCATCCTGTGCCTCTGGAAGTGCCCAGAGGGCCTGAGCAACCCCTGACTGAAAGGAACAACATGAAGAAAAAGAATGATAAATATCATACAGCTCATTAAATCTGCTCCCCGCTGGTTGGGCATTCTTCTCTTAAAAAGTAGAGGAAGATCTGAGAGTGTACATACGTCATCTGTCTCACACAACCTGAATGTCTGTGTGCATTTACGCTCAGTTTTTATCCTCTAGGTGTCCCACACATTATAGGACATCAATGCAGAGTTACAATAATGCTTCTGAAATCAAATGCCTTTAGGGCCTGTTACAGAACTTGCCAATGTTTACTATCCTGCAACAGTGGCCTGTTTAATCCCCAGGTCAGGCTGGAAATCCCGATTGACTTTCAGAGCAAAGTTTCTAAGTGGGCTGTTTCTGTATCCCTGCTGCAGAATTTTCCCAGTGTTCACTGAAGGCCATTGCTTCCTCAAAGTAGATGGCAAAGGACTCCGAGAAATCCTTTTCAGGAGCAGTTATGATATTTGATGATAGACAGTAGTGCAGCTGTAGCATCGTGTATAATTTTAATACTTAATTATAACTTTTTCTCATTTGGGTCCAAAGAAAGTAGGTTTGTCTGGAGACCTCTAACAGTGAAGCCCTTTCTGCTGCTGTACTTACAAACAAACAGCTCTGCATCAGTTTCCCTAGGAAGAGATTTATCAGCTTTCAGTAACCACAGGATCACAGAATCATTAAGGTTGGAAAACACCTCTGAGATCATTGAGTCTGACCTATGACCTAACACCACCATCTCAACTAGACCATGGCACTAAGTGCCATGTCCAGTCTCTCCTTAAACACCTTCAAAGTCGATGACTTCACCACCTCCCTGGGCAGCACATTTCAGTGTCTAAACACCTTTCTGAAAAGGAATTTTTCCTAATGTCTGATCTCTTGTCCAATGCTGCAAGCCTGTGTGTTTCTAAGGCAAGTGAAGCAACTCTCCAAAACCATCTGGACGCTGGACTACCACCAGAGAAAGCAACCCAAAGGCCATACCTTGAGGATCACTGAAGAGTGAGAACTCGGCATCAATGGCACTTCGGGGAAATGAAGGCAAGCGGAGGAGATCCTCCTGGAGCATAGACACATGGGACTGCTTGTGGGCAGTAGGGATTTTCTGCGTCAGTGATATCAGGAACAACACCCGCCCTACCTCTTCCAGCTTGCGGGTGAACACCTGAGGGTAAAGGAGACAAGGATCTGTATGAGTCTGATCAAAAACGTCTTTACAATGTATGTGCACTTTACTAGGTTCACTTTCATAGCTCTCTCTGATAGGAAGGTTGCTGCACTCATGGCCCAGTGGCTCCCGCTGAA